CTTATAAATAGTTACATATATACTAAAAACCTAAACGAATTATCCTAAGAGTCATAATATTTTGGTATATCTATTCTTTAAAAACTTATACATATCAATATAATATCAATCCTGTATAATATGATATTTCTTTATGTGGGTGATTTTGGATATCACCAAATCCAACACTAGGAACAAATGTAAAACCCACCCCTATAGAGTAAACCTAAGTGTCAAGAGTTGAAATCATAGTAAATCTCCACCATCCATCATGGAGAACAAACGATAGATGCCCCGTGTTGCACCATATACAATACACTGCTAGTGTATGGTAATACATTTCTCATTTCATTTGCCATGGAATCCTATTTCACAAATGGTGTGTTTGTTTTGGCAGCCTTGCGCGGAGCAGCGACCTTGCAAGCAAGAGTCCGCAAGTTTGGAGGGGTCCTAAACAGTGAGGAGCATACAAGAGAGAATGATGCACCTGAGATGGATTTCCTGTTTAAAGGAGGACAACTTCTCAAACGCACCAGAAAGGGTATCAAATTATCATACCCTATTTATTTATTTTATTTTGTTTTGGGTTATTGGGTTTTATTAGGCTATCTTTGTTTTGGGTGAGGTTTGTATAAGGTGCTTAGTACGTAAGGCACGCATCTGAATTTTGCTAGAAGATGTAGTTTTAACGTTGGAAGCCGTACACAATAGCTTGAAAACCCCCGTTTGAACAATTTAAAAAATAGTGTAAATCGAATATATCTATAAACATTTATTTTTTTTGAAAATAGATTGTCCAAATAACTATTACAAGAGAAAATATTTAAAGGGTTTAAAATTCTTTTTTTTGTTTTCATACATCTCGAGATCAAAATGATCAATTGAAGGTTTTCCAACTTCGGAACACTCTTCTCTACTTAATTTTTGCACATATCTATTTACTATTTTCAGACATTTGATATCCTTGCTCTTCAATATAAGTAATTTTTTGTTTAGAGGTATTGTAGATATTTCACTTAGTATTACTGGACATGGACATTGGATGCCTTTGCCCCTAAATATAAACAATTTTTTGTTTAGAGGAATTTTAAGTAATCAATTAAAGCTAAAATACGATTTTTTTGTAAATAAAAAATTACTTATTGACTATTTTGACGAGACATCACACCACAAGGTGTAATGTCATCCACATAAGCGTGACCTCACTTTATGAAGCATTAATAACTTTTCAACAATTAGTAGGTTAAAAGGACACTCCGGGTACCCCAAGAGAACCTCTTTTCCAAATCTTGTGTCTTTTGTTTTAGTAATTGCAGTTTTGGCAACAAGTATAGCCATTCATTTTGATTACTCACATATAAACCGGAAGAAAATAACCAAAAGTATACTCTCGGTATATGTCGTCTATTGTGGCCACATAGTATTTCCACTAGTGTTTTATGATTGATATAATCAACAAGGAAAATGGTTATAAGAATATTTATCTTTAGTACAAAAAGATTATAGTACAAGGAGATTATAGTGACACATCATTGTTAAATGTCAAATTCAAAAACTTGACAAATGTCACAGAGTTCAATAATTTTCTGTTGAACTTTAAACCTAGTCAATGGCACACAAGTGCTGATTTGAAGTCTAATGATTAAAGATGAGTGACCTCCTTATATTAACAATAAATTGTCTCATTGTCTACTTTTCCGTTAAAAAAATTCAACTCAAATTTCCATCAAATTTTCATAGCATTGAACTGTGCACTCCTGCACACATGAAGTAATAACACAATGCAAAATCTATTTTAGCACTTACATAAATGGCGGAAACATTCAAGTAGCATTTTAATTTGTACTTTGCTCAAGAATTGAGGTGTTTGATGTATTTGCAGGTGTTCTTCATTGGAAGGAGGTGTCCCTCTACATAAACTCAACCTCGCAGGTAAGAAACCGGCTTAGAAAAGGACGATTTATACGCATTAGGATTAAGTATGGGTGGGCAAGGCATCAAGTTGCCGACGTTTAGAGTTTCATTTCCTACATAAAGTTCTAAGTTAACATTAAAATAAATGAAAAAGAAGGGAAAAAGTTTATATAAGGTTGCAACCTTAAAAATGTAGAATTAAAGATGCGTTTCAAAAATCCATCGGAAAATGTTATTTTAATATTGAAAAACCCTCTAATTGATCGTATCGACATTAAGATGTATGAATATGGCAAAAATGAAGATTTTGAGTCCTAGAAATAATGCATCCTGCAACACATTATCGAGATCATCCATTTTCAAGATTTTCATATGATTATAGATCTACTTGATTTTAACCATTTTTGAAGTTTAAAATTTTATAATTAAAGATAAAAATAGATTTCCAGATGATCCTAAGAATTTTTTATACTAAAATTACATGTTATGATAAAATTTGGAGGTGCGCCTTAATTGGATTGTTTATAGTTACAACCTTATACAAACCACACCCCTATCAAAATACTCATAAAAGAGAAAGTATGGGAAATGTTTCTATGCGTCCCCTACAGCATGAAAGATAAATACTTCCTCCATCCAGCCAGCCACCAATCGTTTAATCTTAGATCCAATGTCTTATAGAATTTTATTTTAAATTTTTTTCTACTAACTATTTGAATACAAAATGTAGTGTGTGGCATCATTTTAATGGTGCGCACCAAAATAAAATAGTAAAAAATATTTTTGATAAAATATAATGTCCAAAATACCCTTAAAAATTTCAAAGGCATTTTGGTCATTTTAGTTTAAGTGGGAATATTTTTTTCCAGGTGCGAGATTATAAGAGGGGTGGATGCCACGAATTTGGTGTAAAAATGCTTTGTATAAAAAATATTAAAAATAAAACAATAGGGGGATATGACATTGTAATTTGAACCATCTAAGCCATCCATTCAAAATGAATGGTTGGATAAAAAGGAGTATATAAGTTTTATACTATAGGGAAAGCATCTGAGAAAGTATTTTTAACATTTTGTCATTTTGCAACTGTTCCGAAGCCATGTGTTTTTATATGGATATTTTGAATTTAATATGTTTATATGGGGTATGTTAGAGATGTGGGCATTTTGAAATTAAACTTAAAGATATGGGTTAAGTGTTAAATTGTTTATTTCTTATGGATAATTTGGTAGATTTCTTATAAAAGAAAGAAACTTCAGACTCAAGGCCCCTTAGTTTTTGCTTGGTGGGCAGTTGTTACAACATACGACGTCTAGAGTTTCATTTCTACTAATGCCTTTAAGTTAATATTAAAAAAAAAACCGTTACAAAATATTAAAAAATTATTTCTTTTTACATCCAAGAATGATAATCTCCTAGTGCACCAGGGAACCCTCTCAAATTGGACTCTATAATGGGAATGTGGTTGAGGTATCGGTGGTTAAGGTGGCCAATGCATCAACATAATGTCCCACTCTCCATTCCCACCGGTGACATTTCAAAAAACAAAACCTAATGGATTCTAAAGTATAATACATGATGAGTGTCATCTCAAAAAAATAAAAATAAAAAGAGAGAAGAAAAACACACACACTCACTCTCTCCAATATCATTTTCTTTTCCAATTGAGATTTTCCCTTGGTATTATTAAGGCATCAGGAACCATCTGCAGGTTGTAGTGAAATTAAAGAGCAAGCATATGGCAGGGACCTTTGTGAAGAAGAAGAAAAGTAAGAGCTTTCTTCATGAATCTCTCACTAAACCACTCACTCCTACAATCACAAGAAGAAGATAAAATTTTCAATCCAATTTTAAAAGATTTTTCTGGCTGAAACCTGAAATTTACATCTTCTGACAAATTTTCAGGTGTAGTGTACGATGTATGTTGCGATATCCCTGCGTGGCCAGGTAGAGAAAGAGAGGAAAATGGCGAACAAAGAGCATACTTCGGCCTGAAAACAGCTCGAGGACTCGTTGAATTCGAATGCAAGAATAAAACCGAAAAGCAGATGTGGACTGATGGTATAAGGCAACTGATATTACGTCAGGACCGCAAACATACACCATTGTTGTCACCATAGAAATCCATATTTGTAAGCACAGGTGTTTCACTTTATGCGAGAATTGAAATGCCTGATTTTTTTTTTATTTTGGGTAGTTAGAAATGTGAATTCACGAAACAATATTCTTTATGTAGAGAAAATAAAAAATTGAATTCAAGCACAATAATCTTTATGTGAGAGAACATAGACGTGAATTTAGGTACCAATGTTATTTTATGTTAAAGAGGATAGATATGTGAAAGAAAGGGAATCGACGTTAAATTTAGATCAAGAAATTGAACAAAAACTATCTATCTTCTGCAAATACACTACCTCGAGGACATGTTTATTCCTAAATTTACAGAGGAAGGTAGTATGAGTATCTTCGTTCTCTCTCTCTCTACAGAATGGATTCTCCAAGCGCTTGAATCTCCAAAAATAACGACTTTGTCCAAAGCCGGGCGAGCCACGGGCAAATTTTAAGGTAATGAGCTCAGCACTTTCTGCGGGTTTTCCCTCACTCTAGCTCCTTAGCAAAATCAAGGTTGTCGACAAAAACCTGCAAAAATAAGAGAGAAAACCATTATATGCATAAAAGAAACATGCACTCAAACACCAAATATGGACTGTTCAAATCGTTCAGCATATTCTTCTGATGTCATACAAATATCCATGTCAATCGAGTCCCTCTCTCTCTCATCCCAAATAGTCTAAAAAATATCACCACAATTACAGGAAATCCATTAGGCTATAGTTTCAATCTCAATCTCAGGAAACGCATTTTGCTATTGCTTCCTTTAAATATGCACTTTAGATTAAAAAATAAATGCAATGTAATTAATATAACAAACTGATCTGGCACTAATAACCCCAAGGTTGTTTGCAGCCTTTATTTAAGTGTAGATCAAGGATTAGAACTCCCACTACTATCCGTATCCAGCCATATCACTCAAATATTATACGTTTAATGACAATCCCATCCAATGAAATATTGGGCCTATAAAATAATGCTAATTTACTAAGTTTTAATACATAAACGGATGGGGAGTGATTTCATGCAAGGATTCTACAGTAATACAATTCCCCAATTTTTAAATATACACTCTGTTAATTCCAATGAACAATTATAAAAAATAAATAAATTGAAAACACAATCTAGAAATTGTTTTTTAGCCTAATTAACATAGGCCATCCATTTTTCGAAATACTTAGATCTAGGTTTTAAAAGGAACTTCCCAAAAATTTTAGATAGTTTTACTATCATTAGATGAACAATGTAAAAAAAAAAAAAATTGATTTTGAGTTCATAAATACGTAGATTTTGAAATTCACTAAATGGATGGTCTAGATTCATTGTTGGAGACTCATTTTGACCATATCTAGGGTATTGAAGATTTGATTATTAGGATAAAAAGATGGTGTGTGATATTTTTGAGGTCATACAATGCCACAAATATAGTTTTCTAGAAGTGAGGTTTCATTATATTATAATAACATGGTGACATGAAATCATTCCTCTAAACTGATACCATTCAACTATGTTTTCTGATTTCATGTTCAATTGTTTAAGAGAAGTTCCCATTAGTTGATGCACCCATATTTTTAGAGATGGGAGTTCATGAAATTGTCTTGCCAAAGGAATATATCACTTCAACATTTCTATTCGAAGTACATGTATTTTAAAGATAAAAGTGGTTATTTTCCGAAAACTCCATGATAACAAAATGATATTTCAAAAACAAGAGATTATTGTGCATCAGAAAAAGAAGAGATTACTATACAAGAAATGAGTAATACAAGCACACAAAAAACTATAATACACAAACATGCATACCGATTTCCAACCATCAGGATCCAAGCAGGCTGTGATCTTTGTATTGATTCCAGGTAGTGGACCTGGTTCACGAGTGATTTTTCCACCAGCTAATTTGATTGCTTCTGCTGTCTTATAGACATCATCAGTGCCTATTGCAATCTGACAATTTCAAAAGTTATGTTATTACAAACACAGTAAAACATCGTATAAGAATCCATGCGTTGAGTCTTGACTACCAGAATACATAATAGACCGACAGATAGACAGAGAAACACATGCACACAAATGCACGCATCGAGAGAGAGAGAGAGAGAGAGAGAGAGAGAGAGAGAGAGAGAGAGGAGGAGGGTA